TCCCTGGGAAAGTCTATGCCAGGGTCCTGGAAAGGAGAGTCCGTCCGTTAGTAGACCCTCGGATACAGGAGTAACAATATGGTTTCCGTCACGGTTGTGGAACACTGGACCAGCTCTTTATCCTCTCGAGGGTACCTGGGAGTTTGCCCAACCAGTCTACATGTATTTTGTGGACTTGAAGAAGGTATTCAACCGTGTCCCTCGAAGTGTCCTGTGGGAAGTGCTTTGGGAGTGTGGGGTGTTTGGCCCATTGCTACAGGCCATTCAATCCTTATACAACCATTGCAAGAGCTTGGTCTGCATAGCCGGCAACAAGTCGGACTCGTTCCCAGTGGGAGATGGGCTCTGCCAGGGCTGCCCTTTGTCAGCGATTCTCTTCGTAATTTTTATGGACAGAATTTCTAGGCGTAGCCTCGTGGCGAAAGGCTTCCACTCGGGTGGTCTCAGAATCTCATCTCTGCTTTTTGCAAATTATATGGTTCTGTTGGCTTCATCGGGTGATGGCCTCCAGCTCGCACTGTAGCGGTTCGCAGCTGAGTGTGAAAGAGAATCAGTACCTCCAAATCTGAGGCCATGTCCGCAGCTGTAAAATTCATACACCCACGTGCAAGAATTATGATTTGGAAATGAAATGCTGAAACATAGTTGCCCAGTTCAATTCTAATTCTAGAGTTCTAATTCTAATAGATCTCCTCTTCTACAGGGGTTTAAGGGACTGATAATGGTGGTTAGGCTTCTTAATCACTTCTAATGTTCTACAGATGTTAAGGTTAGCAAAGGACCAACAATTCTTCATTGCTGGTTGGAACCCCTAAAATATATTTTAGGGGTATTTTTAGAGGTATATTTAAGAAAGAATATTTTTAAAAGCAGTTTTTACTACTGAAAGCACAATACATATAGGGCAAATAAATGATAAAAAACTGATAAATAGTTGAGGACACAGACAGTGAAGCCTCCAAAGTAGGATTTAGGTCACAGACCTCTACATATCCAACCCACCGACAACCAACCAAAGCTGCAGACAGTCATCAATAGACAGCTACTGCTAGATCACCTAAAAAAAAACTTATTTTACTTTTTCTAGGTACTTTTTCTTTTTCATATCTGTTGCATGGCTGTCCTTCTGTCTTTTTTTCTAAAAAATCAGTGCCAGGGCCAGGAAGATGACACCAGGTTGGCACCATAATCCTTGAACCAGTATGAGAGGGTTTAAGTTCTATATAAAAGCTCTACAGCAGTTTCCAAAATGACAAAGATTAGTAACTACTTTAACTTGCACAGGTGACATTGTGGAGTAATGCCAGTCTATCAAATTTTTGAGACTCACTGCTTCAACACATTCATGTAGCCAGAGATGTTTTACTGTATATCAAAAATCTGACAGAGGCTAATTAACTCAGGAAGTTCTACAAATTACTAAGGGAGGATTCAGGGTCATCTGATCCAACTGTAACTATATACTTAATCAAAGAAGAAAGTTCTAGGCCAAATCTTAAAAGTAGAGAGGGTTCCAGTGTACTGAATCCAAACTGGAAGCTGGTTCCACAGAAGAGGGGCCTGAAAGCTGAAAGCTCTACCTCCCATTCTACTTTTAAATAGTCTAGGAACACAGTATAGAGCAGAGACCATCTGCTGACTACCTTGAAAAATTAAGAGCAAGCACATTGTCATGGTCCTGAGTCTGACGACTCAGTGTTTTGTGTTTCTTTATAATATTCTGTGTTCTTGTTTATTCTGTTATGTCTTTGGGTTCAGTTTGCCATTCGTTAGGGTATTGTTTTGTGCCTGCCTGCTCCCACTTCTCTGTGTTCCCTCTGTCTGTCTGTGGTGTTTCTGTGTCTGCTTGTGAGTCTGTCTGTTCAGTTCAGTGTCTTGTCTGGTTCTCTGTGTCTGTTAGTTTCCTGTTTTATTCTGAAGGTCCTTGTCTTATGTGAGTGTGTTCAGATTACGTTTCCCCTGCCTCGTCAGTTGTGATTTCACTCAGGTGTGCTTCCCTCCTGTCTCCCATCCCCTGATTACTGCTGTGTGTATTTAAGCCCTGTGTGTTCTCCTGCCTGTTGCTGGTTCGTCTGTGTTATTTGGTGTTTTCTTGTCTGTGAATATTCCGCCGTCATCCTATGAATTCTCCCTGCAAGTCGCTGTCTCTCGTGTTCAGGTTTGTTGTTTAGGTTTTAGTTTTCCCAGTGTAGTTTATGTCTAAGTTTGGTTTTTCGCCACACTCTCCTTTTGTTTATTATCACTGTGGTTCTGTGTCAATAAAGCCCTCTCACTTCACTGCATATCCGCATCTTGGGTCCTTTGTTAAATTCACACGGCTTGCCCCGGCAACCTGTGACACGCATCTGGGAAAGAGAACCATTCATTTTTAAAATAATCTCACTCTATTTTTTCAGAAGACTGTATATCCAGTAGATATACAGTAAAACCTGTTCTATGTTGACAGATGAGTAAAATGCAGTGGAACCAAGGTCTACAAAATCTCCACGCCACGCCAAAGAGTGAAAACCACATACTAAACGTCTATGTTGCTTCAATCTTGAGTTATCACATTCACAAACTGCTGCCGTCCTGGGTTCGAATCCACCCCGCAGCCCTTTGCTGCGTGTCCAAGCTTTTTTTTTTTTTTTTTTTTAAAGAAAAGCTCAGTGTAATAATACTGCACGTCATTTAAATCAAGTGGACTTTTTGAGCTTTTATGTACAGTCGACATGTCTTAGTAGAAATCTCACTTTCATTTAGTGTAGTGTTATATCAGTTTTCTTTGTGAAAAATGTACACACCACCCACTACATCACAGGCAAAAAGAGGAACTGAGAACATGCAACACGTTGCTGAGTGAGTTTAAATGTTACTGGGTGGCAAAGGGGCATGGAAACTACACTGAGTTTGGTCATTACTGATGGATATGCTGGTGCAGAGTCACTTACTGTGTTTACAATATACAGTGCTCAGCTCCCCTCCAGCTGACCATGTTATACATAAAACCAGAGACCTTTACATAACAGCTCACCAGCCTGTCTGGCCACATTCTGTGTCTATCGGCAGGACTTGCTGAGTGACATACTGACTTGCACTCAAGCAACACGACGTCCCCTCTACTGACCTGACAGAGTCAAACGTGACAGCTGGCTACCAAATCTTACAAAGTGATTATAAAAATAAAAAAAACACATCTATTATGTGAAGCTTTATGCAGAAATATTGTAAACTATCCAAGTGACAGTGTTTTGTCATTCAGTAAATGTACACTGCAGCTTCTTTTTAAGACAGAGAGAGTGGCACTCCCATATTGCTCACATGATGGGGGGAAGAGAATCTGACAATGAGTTAGAACATTTTTGATAAGAAGGTACAAGTTGTTTTCTTTTTACTTTATACAGGCAACACTGATGTTTTTCTATTGCAGCCTTGATCATGATCGTGGTGATCATGTGGTGGAGAGTAGATACACCTATGGTATAAATTTGAAACGTCTATGTTGCTTCAATCTTGAGTTATCACATTCACAAACAGCCGCAAGGTGACCACAATAACCCATCAGCCTTTTACTGCTGAGGGATAAAAAAAAGCATTTATTATATTCAGTAAAATATTATTCTGCACATGGCCTCTTTATCAGTGGCATGGCAGTGAGGAGAAAATAAGATAAGAATAAAAATCCTTGAGTAAGCTGTAGAAAATCAAGTCGATAAAAACTTAAATTAATCAATTCTGCACCTTTTTAAATTGTACAAGATATATTAAGGTGTTCAAACCACAGGTAGTTACAGCATCAGTCTGACCCGTTAAATATAATATGATACTTTATCTACTGAAATTTTGCCATTTTAAGTTTACTTCACAAGTAAAAGGGTGAAAACCGCTGTTAAATATATCTAATGAAGTGTTAAAAACATTCTTTATGAGAAGAGAAAATGCTTCTCATGGTTTTATGTGTGCAGGCAGTACGTTTGTGGAAACAGTACCAGTGCTACCATCAATGTCATCACTTACCCACTTGAACTATATTCTATTACGTTTCCTTTCTACTTGAAAAACATGCCCCAGTTCATTAACAGCTTCAAAACGAAATGATCAATATGACCATCCTTGGGCTGTATGGATTAGAACAACTCAGGAGACTTTTCAGATAAAATATTTTATTTTATTTTATTTCTTTGACCTTTTTAAAACCTACTAAATCTGTCAGCGATTCTGATTATAATGAATCTGTTCTGAATATCCTGAGCTGCATCTCTGCCAAGTTTCATTCAACAGACATGAAGCAAAACAACGCTACATTCCTTTTAATTTTAGCAGCCGCGGGTTGCCCCTTTACTAACTTTACTCTGTGTTTTAGTAGCAGACTGTACCTGTTCCCTGTAGGGAACTAGACTCAAAACTACAAAGGAGCATGTATCTGTTCTCCCATTAAGAACTTCAAAGCTAATCACTTAAAATCCTCATCTTGGACAAACTCTGATACTATTCTATATATAACGCTAAAAGAAACATCCAGACTAAAGAGTCTGCTTGAAAATATTCAGTAAAAGTCTTCACAGGATTTTGTGATATTTGTTGATGTTTATCTCTGCAGCAAATGAAGTCATCTCGACATCTACCAGGTCGCTGGCAACCCATTTAGGGTTAGGGTTTTTCACAAGTTTCGTCTATGATAAAAATGGACGTCTATTTGGATTAACCAATTCAATTCAATTTTATTTATATAGCGCCAAATCACAACAACAGTCGCCTCAAGGCACTTTATATTGTAAGGTAGACCAAACGGACACAATCTTGGCATAACAACCGTGTTGCCAAAATGAATGTATTGAACTCCATGCGAAATGTAACATCTTCTAGTTCCTGAAAATTAGCCTATTTAGCAAGTGGCTAAAACAAAAATATCCTTGACATTAACATTTATACTAAGCAATGACTTAGTGGGTGTTAAGAGGTTAAAGAGCCTGAGAACAACATGGTCATGTAAGGCCTTAGTAATGAAAACAGTAACTTACAGCAATTTCCCTGCAGGCAGACATTGATATTCCAGTGCCTTCTATTTGTTTCAGTGCATACTCCTTCTCATCTTTCCTGTGGTGAGAAAAAGAGAAAATGAAGAATATTAGAAGATGGCCAACAAAAAGGCTTTTTGAAGGTTTGATTAGTAAAGGAGGTGTTTTGCAAGGAGGATGAGGACAGCAGAGGGCATAAAAAACATCCTGTGGTTCAAGTTCCACAACTGCCATAGAGGAATCCATGTTATTAGTGATAGCTTTTGGCAGCAAAGATCCATTAGTTCCCTGCAGGAGTGCTCCCTAGGTCTGGATAAGTGCCCCCAGTGAAATTCCCCTTGATGCAGGGACGAAAACTCGAACTACACACTGACACTTCCAAAGCTCTCAGTTGGCAATTTTCCTCTTTTTGCAAGGTAGTCAATTGCCGTTGTGCATCAAATTTGAGCATGAAAATCAGTTAATAAGTGAAATGTGAGCCCGCAGGGCCGAGCACTTTCAGCAGACCAATATTGATTATTTGAGATAAGCAGAGTTCCGGTTAAGGAAGCCCAGCCTGAACACAGAGCAGTGGAGAAAATAAGGGCTAAAAGGATTCATAAGTCTGTTTACAATAAGCAAAGAGGCATGATTAAAATGTAAACACACTCAGTGGACAGTGTCCAATAACAACTTCATTCAGTGAGCAGCCTGCACAGATCAAAGAGGTCCTCATGGTGGTAATATCAAACACTTTTCAGCCTAATTTGCATTGGAGATGGTCACAGATTAACTGGAGCTCTCAGGCACACATCTCTAATACTAATTAAACTGCACAGATGCTCAAAACAGCTCAAACATTTAATCCTTTAGTCTATAAAAAAAATTGCACATTAATATAATCAATTTACTCAATAAAACAGTTTATCCACTCCGTAATGCAAACCAGGACAAATTTACAGAGCTTGACATATAAAGATTGATCCAAACACTGTAAACCCAAATCTATATGCTTGAAATTTCAATTTTATGTCAGAAGATGAAAGTGATTATGAAACAGGTTCACTGTTTTATAGATTAAGGAAGCCCCACTTAAACACATTACACTATTAACATATATAGTGTTTATTTCTACTGTGTGCGTCTTCTGTAGTCTATGTAGTGCCCATAGTGCCCTCTGTGCTTGCAGTACTAATTATGAATGTTTGCTAATAGAGGTGAGGATTACCAGATATCCCAATATACAATATTATCACAACACTTCACTCACAATAAAAGACTATTGTTATTTCTAACCTTTTTTAATAACATTATCGACATTTAAAGTGCAAATTATGACTTCAAAAAACTGTCAATGTCACAGTCTATTCAAAAGTGGTGATAAAGGTGCAACAACCTCAAGCTTTGGAAAACCATTACCATTGGTTGCTGGTCACCAAATGAAATTTTGTTGTATCTTTCAACAATGACAAGTGCATTATCACATTGTGAAAAAAGCCATCATTTTTGTTCTAGCATGTGTGTGACTGAGCCATTGGCTTGCTCTGAATAACTGTGTCCAGTGTCTGATGGTTTTTCAGTTGAGCCAATTTAATGTAACGTAACGTTAGTCAAACAAACTTACATTAAATTGGATGGTTGTGCATGTGATGAAACCTCTTCTTTGTAGTACTCCCAGAGTATTTTAATTCATTCATAACACTAATATTTGGCATCCCTATTTAATAGATTATTGCCATACAAAATATCGCAATACTATGCTGAATAGTTTTTTGTAACCCCACCCCTGTTAGCTAAATTATTCCACATGCTTTTTTCTGTCCTAACTAAAACATTTGTGTTGACTTGATAAGCAAAAGTAACTGTAACTATCACGTGTATTTGGCAATTTGACAAAAAAATTTAATTCTGAAAACGTTTGATCAAGAGTTTAAAAAAAAAAAAAAACTAGGGTGTGTCCCTCATGATCTGTCTGCTAGACGTTACTAATGAGACACCCTACTCAGTGTTATCCATGGTAACTGGCCGGTGTTGTGGTTGTTTCTTCAAGTTGGTCGTTGTCTTTTTTCTGAGTGTCTTAAATATATGCGCATATATCCATACAGTATATGCATCCTCTCCAAAGCAGGAGGGTTTAAGCCATGTGGCACATCAGCAGTAACTTCAATAAATATCAGTTATTCACAGCACAAACAGGCACTGTCAGATCTACCGTAGGCAGTCAAAGAAAGAGTCACAGTTTTACACTAACTATTATTATTTGCATTTCTGCACCGTGTTCACATATGGATACATTTTTGTATGACAGACCTTTAACCTGTATTTCTAGATCGCACGGCGGACTATGTTCACAGACAGTGATCTCTGGAGCTCCTTGGCCCATACAGTGATTTTGTGAGACACATCCATGAAATTAAAAATGAACGTTTTCTTCATGAAAGAGCAAAATGTCTCAGTGTAAATATCATAATTCTATGTTGGATTCTGTTTTCAATGTGATTTGAAAAATCACTACATTCTATTTTTAATGACTTTTTTGAGAATATGCAAACTGTAATATTTTATTATATTCGTAACAATCCCTGAAGTGATTGTTATTTTGGTTTCTATGAAGCAGGCCCAGAGCACTCTGAGGAGACACACCACTGACTATCAATCCTTTTCAAATCGGCGATACATTGCCCCACAACACCCACAGGGCGAGTGTTGGCTTATCTGCTCAGGCCCCTTCAGGCCAGCGCACAGATCTTGTGATGGTGTGCGTGAGCCAGCTCTGTCTGCCTCTGCCATAATGTCTCTACGGTTCACGTCTTCCTCAAAATTTGGAGCTGCGGTCTGGTGCCCTGGTGACTGGCTCTTAGCAGATAATAACACCCTTAAAATACACACATACACAAGTCAGAGAAAATCAGCACTGGTAATGTTTGAACAAAAATAGCTATAAAGAAATGAACAAAACTTTGCTTTTGATGCTGTTTATCCAACAGTCACGGTTAAAAGAAATTTCAATGACTTCCTGACCCATCCACCATGAATTCCTTCCAGGACTAACTTTATGGCACTGTAAAAACATGCATCCATAACTGATATAACTATCTATAATGTAGTTATTAAGACACACTGAGCTGTTGGTGGGACGTGTTCCACTTGTGAAAAAAAAAGCAAAACTGGAAAATGCTGTGTGGAGACACAGCATTTTCACATGACAACAAGGCCCCTTAGGCTCCTTAAGCTTTCTTAAGTTGAGAAAGCAGCAAACAATGAAAATTATGCATTACTTTAAATTCTGCTGCAAAACTGGGGTAAGTCATGAGTAACATTTTAGGTACTGGGAAAAGGAGGCTTTGCTAAGCATTAACATTTCTGGGAATTTATAACGCTCTTTATTCTCAGGGCCTTGCATCCTCTGAGGGTCAAATCCAACTGTCTGTCAAATTTCTGAATGAGACAGCTTTGTCAAGAACAGAAACAATGACCACATTCTATATTTTAAGTTCTCGTCTTGGGCCTGGATACATTTATTTTTCAGACCTTATGGCTCACCGGATTACAAAGCGCACTGTTGATGAACGTGTCTGTTTTCATACATAAGGCGCACCGGATTATAAGGCGCATTAAGCAAAACAAAACCGTCAAATTTTACTCAACTCATTCTTCTTGCTTCCTCCACTTCTGTACCATTGATTCATTAATGCTGAATTCTCTCGCAGCTGCTCTATTCCCATGTTGTTGCAGTATATTAATGACTAACCTCATATTGTAGATGGATTATCTCAGTTGTTCTCCTGACTGAAGTTTGGTTTGTTTACAGCATCCTGCCATGCAATTGCTTGGCAGGATGCTATTAAGTGGAAAAAAGTTAGCATTCATCTTCCAGCTTCACTGTATTTACGTAATGCTAACATAGCTGTGATGCTAGCGATCGTGTAGCACATCATTATATACCAGCTAGCCCAACTTCACTAACCCTACTTCTTAGTAACTGGTATTCTTAACCAGTTATGAATATTGACTTGATAATGGCTATTATAAATGTGGAAAAGCTAGATGTTCCCTGTGACACTCCTTTTAGGTTGGATCTAATTGGAGTGATACTGTTCCTACTGGTAATAAAACAGTGCTTAGCTTTGCTATAACAACACTGACAATTCCATTGCATTCCATTTTATGTATATAGCACCAAATCACAACATCAGTCACCCCAAGATGTTTTATATTGTAAGATTAAAGACCCCACAGTAATATAGAAAAAATACCCAAAAATCAAATGACCCCGTTTGAGTAAAAAGTGGGGGGAAAACTCCCTTTTAACAGGAAGAAACCAGAACCAGGCTCAAGGAGAGACAGCCATCTGCCATGACTCGAAAAAACAATTTATTTACATATTTACTTTTTTCTTCTTACACCGGGTTGTATATTTGTACATTTTTATACATGCTCTTTATCTCACTGTACAACTGTATGGTGACAATAAAGGCATTCTACTCTATCCTATTCTAAAACGAGTAATACATGGGAAGAAGTCAAATTGGGCCATCTGTATAATAAGTTCATCTAATGCTTAAAATTAGTTTCTCCATCTCAGATTTCGAGAAAACATTATGACAAAGCATTTGGAAGACGGGGGCAGCAAAATCAGCTCTTAATGCACTGTGCCCTTGGTTAACGCTGCTTTTCTTGAATGTAATTTTTAGATCAGAGTGATTAACCTTTTGGCTATCGTACAAATGAAACTTGTAATATTCAAATAGGAAGCGCACTGGCCAGATTCTGCCACTTTTTTGGACTGGGATTTTGCCAGTTTGCATAAGGAACAGTGACACCGTTGGCACAGCAGAGCAGAAATGTGAGAACGTATCTGTCCTGCTTTCTGTTGCTGATATATACATCGTGGTCACACGCTGTCATATGCTTGTCATTGAGTGTAAGCAGCAAATGGCAGAGAGAAAACAATGTGTGTCAGAAAGAGGGAGAAAAAAGTTTGGCACTCCACGATGCTGAAAGCGGGGCCAAGAAAAGCCGCTCAGGTGTCACTATTGCGCGAAGTGACGATAGAATACGATAGAAGCTACCTTTGCAGCGACCGCCGACAGGACACTTGTCAGAAAATAAACAGCACCGCGGCTTTACATTGTTGTTTGGGGGTGTTGGGGAGGAGGAGGAGGAGGAAAGGGGGGAGCTCTGAGGTTGGGGACGGAGGGGGGGGGGGACCGTTGGTGAGTGAGTGCGTTACATGAAAACAAAAACACAGAGACACGGGCTATCGCTTCGGGGAGCTTCAAATCGAACGCCCCGTTCAGCACATAACCGAGGCGTGTGTTCACAAAATGCATCCCGCGGTCAGTTTTATGTCAGCATACACAATAACGTTCACGGTTATCTTACCCGTCTTTGCGCTTAGCTTTATAAACGTGCCCGTAGGTGCCTCGACCCACTTTGCAACCTTCATATTCGAACAGATCTTCTACTCTCTCTCTCTCCGCCGCCAGCTTTGTTTTGAAGTCGTAATCCATTTTAACCCATAAATACGCCTTAATTTACAATAAAATAAAATATTAATTATAACATGCATTAATTAAATAATCTGGTCGTTTTATTCCCCCACCATTTCCTTGTTTGGGATTTTGGTCTGCTCCGCTTAATGTTCACTGGCTCGTTGACGTTTCTAATTGGCGCGCGTGGCTCGCTGGGTATGGTAGTTCTTATGAGCAGGCGCCGCAGTTTGCCGCGTTGTCAGGCAAGCTATGGCAAACTACAACCCGCGTTTCTCGCTGCTGTTCGTTGCACTTTGCGTACTCATGAAAGCTCTTCAAAAATGCGGCCGTCGGTGGTTTGAGGTTACCTTTTTTTAACGTCACGTAAGATGAATAAATAAATGAGCTAAACGGATCCTCGTTATCTGGATTATTATTATTATTATTATTATTATTATTATTATTATTATTATTATTATTTAATGGTCGTAATAATAATGGTATTGCAAAAGCTGAACAACTGTGTACATATGCAGTGTATTCATTTAATATAGTTAGAGTGACCACTTCCCACCAAACTCAATGTGATCCGAAGGGTATGGGACCTATTATAAATTGTTTAAAGATATCAAGTGCTATGTGTAACTTAAGGATATGTGCAAACATCCTGGGTGTTTCTGGGGTTGTTTTTTCGGGGGATAATATGAGTTTTCCAACTTCTTAACTGTTATTTTAGCTGATGTTTTTTCTGATAAGCATCTAAGTAGGTCGCTTCATCTCTTTTTAAGACACAGTTTTCTTTTGAGATTTAGATTCATTTTTTACTTTTGTGAACTACAGTCAGCCAAAAAAAAAAAAACCAAGAAAATTGTTTAGTGCAGTTAGTGGTAAACATGTGAAATGTCTTCCATAAATAAAGGTTATGAAAAAACAAAACAACATGATGGAAGACCCTTGCCTTCTATAATAATCGATAGGTTTTTGACATGCACACACACCTGTATAGGTAGATGAGTGACGTCATGTCATATGTATGTGATTCATACTTAATTACTGTCCTTCTATTGGGTGACAATTGTATGTGTGAGTTCCCACTGCCCGGAACACAATGAGATGAGACAAGTAAGTCCTGTAACACATACAGTAGATTTTTATTATCCTTTGGGATTTCTTTCACCTGTTTTCCTTCTATGAGTACACTCTTTTACTAAATACCTACTTATACCTGCGCAGTCCAGTTTAGTTCTATCAAATTTAACAATTTGGTCATATTCTCATTTAAGTGGTTTATATCTGATATTCGCAGTTTAATATCAGTATTATAGTACCATTAAGCGAAAAAACAAATTATACATTTTAAAAAAGAGAGAGCGTACAAACGAAAATTAATGTGATAAGTAAACACAATGGCTTGTGTTAGAAAAACACGCAGTTACGTAATCGTCGTGAACAGAAGAAAACTTATCAGAAAAGGATTTTTACACGAACATGCCGTCAACTGTCATACTGGCCTTCGTAAACTTAAATTCAGATATCATGTAATGTTGATGTTGCTATATATATATATATATAATGTGTATTTTCAGAGGAAAGCTACATGCAGGCGGAAAAGTTTCATGACGGAAGACCCGCCTTCTATTATAATTGATAGGTTTCTGGCCAATCACAAATCCCAAGATATGGCTTCGCGTTCAGATTGGCTCGAGGTGAGGCTTACGTAGGGCTACTGCCAAATAAAAGCTCCGCGCGGTCTCCATTCAGCGCTTACACAGTATGGCCGGCGATATTAGCTAGCGCTCGCTAACGGTATTCTCTGCTAAAGGGAAGACGGTAACTCAAGCAAATCAACTCCTGGATTGTTTTAAGGACTGAACCTCACTAAATAATAACAGGTCGAGGAAGGAGTAATTAAGCTGTAAACGTTATAAACGACGTTGTAATATTTTTGGTTGTTGGGTGTCTGTTGTCTCACGATGGAAGATAATGGTGCACATTTCTTCGAGGGGACCGAGAAGCTGTTGGAGGTGTGGTTCTCTCGGCAGGATGAGACCAAAGGAAACGGAGACCTCCGTACCATCCCAAGGTTCGTGTCACTTGAGTATCTCCGGGGCAGTGTCAGTCCACAGCAGCCTAGTGGTACATTGACAGAAACACCGGCTACATGCACGGCTTCAGTGGTCACTTTTTGAGATGTATAACAACTTGAATATTATACAGTCCCGTTTCCGTTGACACTGTATTCCTTATAGTTATTAATCCACCCCTGGATAGACGGCAAGCATTGAAGTGAACCAAATCTAACCGTGGATCCTTAAGCTGGGGAGCTAGCTAACGTCGCCATTGGAAAATGGACACCTCCCCCTTTTAACAGTGGCTGAGTCATTCATTCTTCACCCTGGGAGCTTGCGGTAATTAATATATTCAGCTCCCATCGCTTGTTTTTGCGAGATGATTTGTCGCATGAGGCTTGGACGCCACCATGACAGCCAATTTAGAGCTACTTCATTTAAGCTAGTCCCTAGGAAAAAATATTCGAATTATCAGCCGTCTCCTGAATTCTCCGACGCTGTGCAGACTGCTTGTGATTTAGTGATGAGGCGATCTTATTGTCGTTATTTGCCAATTGCTATATATATTCGTGCTCGTGTGCACTAAATTGCTTGGTCTTTGTAATTACATATGCTTTATTTTTTCCTGCGTCACTCTACAACGAGGGGGGCATGTGAGACATGTGGTCGTCCGTTGTCACCGCGTGCCTTGCTGGCACGGAAATAGATTCAAGTATTCCAATTCCACTTTTAATTTTTTTAATTCTTTACTTTTTAAGGCTCATAAGTGATTGGGGAAAACCGTCAACCTTTCCCTCTGCCCTTGCGGTTGCTAAAGGCTGGCCCCAGGTCTGTTTCCGCTGTCTGTTTAACCACAGAGAAACTGCGTAAAGTCGTGTTCACGTTTTCGGCCATGCGGTGCGCTCGCTCCTAGTTGCTCTGATTGGTTAGAGGGTTCCCTGTTACGTTGTGCCGCGGGGCACTTGGTTACGTTTAAGGACTGAGGGGGGCATGGATTCTGAAAAATCCATGTGGGTTCAGTTCTTGTGAGAAATTCGGTTTTTGCTTGCTAGCAAAATTAGCTGGTTTGAAATGCACGTTTTAAACAACCTTTAACAAGGAGAAACCTTAAAGGCAGACTTGTACCGTGTGTCATAATGATTTTTTGCTTCCCAGACTTTAGTGGAACTTGTCCACTGTAAAACAAATAGATTGTTTAAAATCACCTGGGTTATGTCACCTATAGAGGTAAGAATGGTACTGATTCTTTAATGTAAGGTGAGAGTAAGTGAAAGTGTTAATGGTGTCCACTGCCTTTGCTTAGGGTTTTGTTTTTAATCTTTTTTTTTCTCTGGCAGCTTGTCATTTCATGACTGGTTCAAGGAGGCCAAATCATCCCCAGTGATGGGTGACTTTTTCTGGTTAATGACCAGATCAGGGGCTGGTTTATGACAAGTGTGTAACCATTGGAGTGAAGGAAAGCTGGCATTAATTTACAGCCAGAGGGCAGATTAACGGCTCAAAGGGACACTGTCAGTGGATCAGACTCGATGGACGTTAGCCAATGTCCAAATAAGACCACAAGGGCATCTGATTCACAAATGTGAAGCTTGCTCACATTACCTCTGCTGCCACTTGTCAGGGTTCAGACTGCATACCAAGCACTTCCAGTGATTGTAGGGGAGACTGGTTCATAAAGTCATAGCATATTCACCTCTAAACACCTGAGAAATTTACTATTCCCTGTGTTCCAGCCATCCAGTAAGTGACCACTTTTCTGTCTGATAAGCGGCAAACGTTCCAACATGTGCCGTCTTGATCAGCCATGTGTTCATAATCTCTGGGATACATGAAAACAGGTTTGGCGCTTTGCTTTCTTTGAGGAAAATATGATCTCGTTGCACAGCTAGAAATAACCTCTGGTGTCGATTTCACACCGAGGCAGGAGCTGACACAGCTTGCTAATGCTTGGCCTCTGGTATGAAACTGGGAAGTAGGCATGTCGCAACAGCTCTGTTAGGTTGCGGTAAGTGATCGAGCTGAACTGTATCCAGACATACCTGTAATGCCTTTGTTCATCTTCCAAATACACTGTTGACATTGCAAATGATATAATATGATTAAGAAGAGTTTAGATGGTACTATGATATACACTCATTCTCATCAGGCTTGGCCTTGATGGCAAACTAAAGATGTTGAGTCTTTGCATTAAGGACAATGCCAAAGAGAAGCTGGTATATAACAAAATCATCTTAAAGGCACATCGCCTGCATGGCCAGATTTAGAGTAGCTTATAGCATGATTTAGAGTTTATATCATCTTGCTCCAATGTTGGTCCTCGGTGCAGGCCTTTGTTTATCTTCTGAGACGTGCAGTTTTGAAATCCTTCACATCCTTTTATACAATTTTTGCTATGCACAAACTAAAAACCAGATTTTTAAATTGGTGGTGTTTTGGGCTGGAAGTGTAAAAAAAACTGTTTACTTGTTCATGTGTTGACCTTATTTGAAACTTGATATTTGAGCACATTTGACTCCGTGATACCATACCTAGCTTTTTTGCCCCCACCCTCTCAGAGGAAGTGATGTTCACAACAGATGACGTAAGCCTGTCACTCTGAGGACAATGTTGTTAAGGGATTAGATGAAGTGTTGTTTGTGGTACTGGAAGGTAGTAAACATATTTGTAGTGTAGTTTCTTGGGCCATTAGGCCCGAATACAAAAGGCTGCAGTGTGAACTGTATTATTCTTGATTTTGTTGTCTTTAGAACAATGTCTGAGAGATGCATTGTTTGTGTTTATTTGTTTTTGTGTGTTTTCCTCAGTCATCTAGTTATTTGTAGATTGACAAGGTAGAAAGGAACATAATTGGGTCTTGCATTTTTGCCCACAGCCTTTATGCATACTGCTGCAGTCTAGTTACTGAGGAGCATTTCTTTTTGTTAGGTTCTCTAGAAAAGCCAGTTTCATAAAGCATTCATTATTGAGCTGCTGGTATGCTTTCATCGAACACTTTATTTCTTGGAACGTTTGTCTTGCAGCCCAGGCCCCCACTGTGAATGGGTTTGGCTGCTCTTCCAAGGTTATAATGTGACCCAGCTGTCTGGGTGGTGTTCGGGGG